TAAGATTTCACAGAATTAATAAATAATTAAGTTATTTAAACATATATTTCAGAAAGAAACTATATTCATCATACTATCTATTTGTCACCAAAGACGAGTCTTTCTACACTTGGTAGGAATATCCTTAAATACTTACTAAAACAAGTATAATGATGTATGTTGAGGTTTATTTATTTTTTGTCCTTTTATTCATTTTTATTCATCAATCAAAAGTTAATCAGGGAAGAAAAGAAGGAAAAAAAAACATTGATCATCTTCAAATTTAATCATTTGCTACTATTTTTAATTGCAAGTTTACAACAGAAGCTTCCTATATATTATTCATTATTTCCTGAAACTTCAAGCATTTACAACCATTTCACGGAATTCTATCTAACTTGAGGTTACACCTACCTAAGTAGTTGGTTACAGTAAAAGTTGATTGCAATTACTTGTAAGTTGTAACGTCAAAAATTCGAATCTACTTTATGAAGGTCTCTACTTTATCATTTTCTGATTGGAGGATTAACTAGTCTGATAGCTATACATGTAGGATACACCCCAAAAAATAAACCTCCAAGATATTAGTTACACACCTTTGATTTTGATTGAAGATGCTTCCGTAGAGAGAGCTTATTTTTCTCACAATATATGATGTGCTTGCTTGTCCTTCAAACTGATCACAAAAGCAATTTTTCATGTCAAAGACTTGGGTTTATAATTATTATGCTAAAAGAAATTTGTTATACGCATCATGCTTACTGCTCAAGCAATGATGCAAAAACAAGGTTAATACAACGGCAAAAACACTTGAGGTATATCTAAATCTAGACAAGTCACGTTTATAGAAATCAAGACTAAAGTAGACTATAGACTTAACGTTGGAAGGGCAAATTCTTGTCTCAATGGGGGTACGAAAAATCTTAAAATCTGTGGCTATAATTGCCTCTTTACACTATGTACTTGTTTTAATTCTCAAATGGTCTTTCTTACTTGAACATTCAACAAAGCATGCAATGGTACGGGGAAAGACATAATTGGAACTCTGCATACGCCTAAAGTAAAAAGGGAACGTATCTTAAACAGAGGATGGCTTTTAACTTAAGCAATGTTAATTAACTAAGCAAACCTAAAGGCTAATTCAAATAAATGGATCACTCTGTTTTACAATTTTTTCAAAGACAAATACTTGTTTAATGGTAATTTTAGACAAAATCTCTGCTTGAATGAATGAAAATGCTAAATAAAGATAGAGTACGGTTGCATGAATAATCCATTAGTTAATTCAATTTCATGTTGACATGTGTACAAATATTATTTTGATAAGACTACAAAAATTTAAGGAACCATCTAACACCATAAAAACTTCAATTATTGTGCATATTAAATGTTGTTCATAAAATTACTATAAAAAACGAAGGGATAGGTAAGACACCACATCAAAATCTGCTAGCATCCATGAGTAGTAGTTGGTTTACCCCGGTATCAATTCTGTGACATTGATAAATACGAGCCTTGTTTAACCACATTAATTAACAGCCAGTGATTTCCAATTACAAAATGGTACTACTTTAAATCATTCATGCCTTGTGACAGAAAATAAATAATTAGATGAAATTGCTCCTGCATTCAAACTGAACAGCAAATAGTAAATGCTGTCCCAACAACAAACATAAAGTAGTAAATCCTTTTTTTCTTTTCTCTTTTGTTGATTTTGCTTTTGGCAAGCAGGGTGAGAGTGCTACTACTGGCTAGTGTCTACTAAGGGCAAGTAGTGACTCTGACATAGAAAAGGATGTAGGCACTACTCTTTACTTGCACTTCAGTTGTTGCATTTTTTCATCCTTGAGGACTTTGACTTCACTAGGAGGATGAAATGAATGTAGGGCATTATATCTATGACGACATAAGGGGAGGACATGCTTAGAAAAATGAAAAAAATGTGGTGCACTTTGAGAATTGGTTTGCTCCAAAAAAAGAACCAAGCTACCTTTAAGTCTCACCTATCAAATGCTTGTTTTTGGCTTCCAAGTCAAGTATATTATGACAGGCATGATGACTACGATGAACCGTTGCTTTTGCATCTGAAGAAGAGATGAATCACGAGGGACCACCCTTCGGTGCAATAGACCAAACATGAGAGACATGTGTCAAGATTATGGAATGGCCTACAATACTAGACGTGTCGTTCGCTTTTGTTCCCCTTGTCTGCGGGCTAGAAACACACAACCCAAAAATATAACCATGACAACAACAAAATCCTTAAACAAAATGTATATTATCAAGTAGACTCACGAAAATCAGGAAATTATCTGTTCTTTTACACCAAAAACTAATATCATTCAGAGTACTGTAATTGTTGTTGATCCGAAGAAATTTTGCACATGACGAGAATTGAACATAAATGTTGTATACTAAAAATGCAAAATGTTGCTTTACCTATTTAGTGTGAAAAGTTACCGTTCCTCACTTTTATGGGTCTTTACAGATAAAGGTGAGATAAGAGTATACAGTAAACTAGACATTAAATTTGTATAAACAATTAGAAAAGGATGGAAAGTTGGTGGGTCAATGAGAAATTGATGTTGCATGGAATGCAAAAGCTGTATTATTGGCATGTTACCGAATCCCCGTAACTGCTTGATCAACGCCGGCAAATGCAATAAATAAATGGTGGAGAAACGAAATAGCTGTGAGGTTTGGTTCGTTCAATTACATTAAACACAAAGCAACTTGTACCAAAATTATTGGTTTTTCTAAGACTGGTAAACCAATTGTGGAGACTTGTGGGCTTGTCAATGACGACATGGAGGTAGCCCTCCAAAGTTAGGCAGAACTCGCCTGTGGGTGTTGCTCAAGTTCTTTAATTAATTAATGCTGCTGTTCAAATTAAAAACTAATATTTTATTTTGTTTTAACAACATATAACTTAGGATTGAATGCTATAAAGAGGACTTCATGTTCAAGTTCAAATCACTTAAACTAACTTGATAAATTAAAAATTAAAATATCAATGTTTTTATGGCTTGAAAAATTGTAATTTTTTTTTGAGTGGGGGTAACAAGTCAATTCGAAACTTTCTGGATAGGTCAGTGGCATTGACATTTCATCCATTTGAAAATTGAGACTAGACTTTGAAGAAATTTTTATGAACTTGGTAATGATGACCAAAAGGTGTTGTATTAATTCAGCTTGAAATTTTTGCCACTTGATTCATTCCCGCAAAGTCCTTTGAAAAGTTAGATTGTAAAATATATTGACATAGGAGATAAGTATTTGTTAATGAGACTTGTAGATTCCTTTCCTACACAAAAGAAAATGCATCTACTATAGTACAAAATATGACCTTAATTAGAAAGCCGCTATAAGAGAGTAGTTGCTCTAAAACGAGAGAAAATCGTGGCTAGTCAGTTGTAGGTTTTTGAAGAGGAAGGAGAATAAATTAATATTATGCAAAAGTGCAAAAAGTGCACATGGAGTGTCAGTTAAAAACGAAATTAGTGTTTTGGGTAGCCTAACTTTTGCGACTTGTCATTAAACATGGAAGCCCTACAGATGAAAACTACAGAAAAGAGGGACATCTGAAATCTCTCTAATACAAAGGGCAAAAGTCATGTTGAAATGACCACGCCATATTGAAACTCCAATCAAAAAGCCAAAGAGAAGCCACAAAAAAAAAATACGTATTCTCTTATACAGTTCTTATGATTTCAAATTTGCAACAAAAAAACAAAAATCTTAAAACAATGTATCTCACAATTGGAAGCCATATTAATTTTTTAACTTGAACATTTGTAAAATTGATTTTAAATAAAGTGATTTATGATTAGATGTATTTTTATTCTAAAATCATGTTAATAATAAAATTTAGTATATATTTTATATCTAACACAAGAACTACATAAATTTGCTTCTACTAAAAAATATAAATAGATCTATAATAATCTCTCAATATAGGACCAAACATGAAAACATTTACATAAAAGTTATATTAGTTTGTATTTCAACTTGATTTTGAATAATCAAATATGAATATAAAATTCACTTTTTCATGTTTTGGATATATATTTCGAATGTACATTAATATTCGATATAAATAGTAGCTTCTCTTTTGACGCCAATAAAAATGAATGTGGTAAATGTTTTAAAAGTTGATAGAAGTTTTATCTAGCTCAAATAAAATCATTTGTAAAGAAAAAGATGTGATCCCTATTTAAATGGTCATTGGATTTTGCAAATGAATTTCTTGTAGCTAGTACACAATTACTTTTTACAAAGTATGAACTTTATAATTTTGTTAGTATTAGTATTGATTGATTTCATCGTGGCATTAACTCAATCTTTTTAGCTAAATGATATTAAATTCTTACATATTTTGTCCTTAAACGAAAGGCCAAATGCTTTACGATGTACAAGGCACTTGGGTGGTCCCAAATCGATTTGCTTCAGTTGGTTCCTACAATGCCATCATACTAGCTAGCTGAAGAATTCAAGAGGAGAAAAAATTCATCGACTTAGTATGTGTTTGTGTTTGGTTCAGATTTTTAACGTGATTTGACTTAGTATGTAGATTTGACTTAATATGTATTTGGTTCAGATTTTTAACGTGTTATAATAGAAACTAACAGTTATAACTTTTACGTTTTAAACGTACTTTTTGCTCGGAATCACGTTTTAGATATGTAACCAAACATGCACTTAATAAAATAACAAGCCTCTACCTCCTTTCAGAGTACTCGAGTGAAATTCAAAAAAAGCCCTTTTTACGAACATGGTTCTGCCAGAGAGTTAATCTGAGGGCACTTCTGCACACCTCTAATATATTCTGGAACATATTATTGGCCACATCTAGAGCTAGCTGTTTTGTCATGTCTCAATATTTGTATTAGGAAAATTAATTCAAAACATAAAAACACACAAGTAGTTATGATTAATTTTTTTTGATTTCCATCAAATACAAATGTAATATTTAATCTAATTGCATCGCTTATTTAATTAGAAGTAAGGTATAACTCAGTAACTTATCCCAAAGCCTTTCTTAATTAAATTAAGATGGATTCTATTTACACTGTTTCTATCTACAAAATAAGTACATCCTACACTCTGACATTTGAAAGTAAAAACCACGTCAACTTAAGAGAGGCTTCTCTGCATCACACTCATTCTCTAAACCACCTCCATATGCATGGTCTTCTTTACCTTTGGCCCAAAGCACAAAGTAGAGCCCAACAAACATGAGTAGCATACCCGCAAAGCTGCAATAGAGTATTGTACAGAAGAATGAGATAGTGTAGTTGAGAATATAATATGAAAAACCAATAGCTAGGAATCTTATTATGAAAGTACCTTCCAATACTAATGGTCTGTCCTAAAGTAACAACCGAGAAAATGACAGAGCAGACTGTGGCAATGGGGCTGAACATGGAAACCAGCACTGGGCCTCTCTTCTCAAGAGCCCAACAATTGAAGCTCAAGCATATTCCACTCACTGTACCTGCCTGTGCATTACAACTCATGCCTTTAACATCCAATCATCCATGTCAATGAGAAGATAAAATATTGCATTAAACACAAATTGAGGCCCTCAGGTGTTGTTCTCTGGTTAGAATTAAAGCTTAACTTAGATAATTCACACGACAAAGGTTTGTTTTAAAGAATTATGCAAATTATCAGGTCAAAACTCTAATTTTGATTAAAAAAAAGTGCAAACAAGACCTATTAAATTTTATTTAAGTTTTGTCCTTTATACAATTTTGTTGATGCTTGTTGTGTTGTTCTTCAATCACAATAAAAGTTTTGTCATAATAATCCTCACAATAAAGATTTGTTTTATGATATGAGTAGTAGTAGTTGCAATTACCAGAAGAGAATAGCCAATCATGTCTCTAACACTAACAAATGGCCATCCAGTTTTGAATTCGTGATCTTCAACTACTTGAACTGCGGCAGTCATGAACGTTCCTAAAAAGGAAGTTAATGCACACAAGGACATGGGTGCAGGAAAATCTGCTAGAGTAAAGGCCTGCAAGAATCACAAATTTTGTCAATTGAATGCAACCATTTGTGTCTCTTTTCCTATTTCATTGCAAGTTACCTGTAAGACAATGTTGCTTGACAATATGAGGATTGCAGCCAAAAGATAGAGACAACCGATTAACTTGTCTTTGTCAAACGTTACATTGGGTGATGGAGATGACACTTGAATTGTTCCCTCTTTAGCGGACGGAGGTTTAGAGATGCTTTGCATTATGCTCATTGTGAGAGCCCCTAAGACACAAAGCAATGTGCCAACGATTTTCACTCTACTATATGTGCAGCTTAATTTCACTTTTTCCAACCTGCCTAGCATCAATTTTTTCATTAATTAACATGCAAATCATATCATATAAAAAATAATCATAATATTATACTAGTTAAGAGAAATATTGAAATTATCAAGCTCATGCAAAAGTTGATTCTATTACCGAAAAATCCATGCGATGATGAAGATAAGAGCTGGTGCAAGGTTTGGCATGGCAGTTCCCATTGCTGGTGAGGTTAGACTGATTCCTTTAAGGAGTAGAGACTGGAACAATGTTACCCTGCATACTCGATGATACTAACTATCAGAAGAAAACAAGCTAGGTAAAATATATTACAAATTCGAAACACAGCAAGAAAGCAGAGAAATAATGAAAAGAAAAATTATTTGCAAATATCAGAACCACGAATAAAAAGGATTGTAGTGTCATATATTGGACTAGTGTTTTTTTTTTCCTAATCTAAAAATAACTGGATAAATTATTGACAACTACGAGATTTCATTTGTGTGAAACCATGACCTGGAATTAAACTAATTAAGCAATAGAAAGGAAAAGTAGAAGAATAAAAAACATTATAGTCCACTGGGTCAGGTAATTAGAAAATTGAGTGACAATTTGATTATAAGGTGTTGCAACTTGTAAGGATTATTTTTTCTGAAATACATCATTTTATTTTTAGTCTTTCTCTAATTCTCTTTAACTTTTAAATTTGGATGTGTTAATTTTGTTAAATCAAAAACGCTAATGGATCCATGAACCACTAGTTATACACAACAACAATTTATTTCTTTTTACTCTCAAATTCCTTAAAATAGTACCTACCTTTCATTATAAAGTAAGCCTTTGCAGTCCAAAAAGAAAAGGATAAGATAAGCATTTTAATAAGGGGTTTACCACAAAGTACGGTGCTTGCACTTGATAATTTGGAAATAAGGATAATTTTGGTGCTGACAAGCAAGATTGTGTTCAGAGAGATTCTAGGGGTTAGATATTTCCTAAAACCCATGATAATGTATCCGCCTTCAACAATTCCCTAAAATTAGCCTTCATCATTTGTAGTGCTCTTAATTTAATGGGATTCAAAAAAAACCAGCATGTATTTGGTGGATTACCAAGAGGATGATATTCAAAAGCCTACTTGCATGCCCAATTTTTTTATAAAAAAAGAAACATAAATTAAAAAATGTATACCTTAAACCCGGAAGGTTTAAACAAAAATAAAATAAAATAAAACCCTTAAAACAGGAATTGAATTCATCTAATTCCATGATCCATCTTCCACTATATTTTTTTTTCTTCAAAATTATGAAAGGAATTAATGGTGAAGGAAATTAAGAAGTTGGTGATTAAATTTGCTTACCCTCCAAAGGAAAGCAAGAGAAACTGTAAAAACAACTTGAAAGTAACTTTGGTGGGCCATTTACACCTGCAAAAGATACATAAAACCATGAAGTTGATGATCAAAATAACAATCTAAAAAACAGAAACATAGAGAGAAGGAGATGAAACCTTTCAAAATAGAAGGCAAGGGGGAGGAGGAGAAGGAAGGTAGCAAAGGAAGTAAAAATGACAATGGTAAGAGATTCAAGGCCCAAAGACATAAGATAACTGAGAAACACAGCATTCCCAGCGTAAACAGATTGCAAGGCAATCAAGCCTCCAATGATAACTAAATCTTGCATGGTTATTCCTCCATTCATGATAATAATATGAATTGTTCCCACAAAATGAAAATGAAAAAGAGAGGACATATAGGCCATCCTAGCCTCCTCCCTTCATTCTCTTGCGCTGTGTATATGAAAAAATAGTATATGTTTGTGGTAACAGCGTTGTGATGAGTTAGAAGTGAGCTACCCTTCACCAGGTTGGTTGTTTCTACCAGTCTTCGTTTCTTGACAGGAAATTCCTTTGGCTGCGTGCATGTGCGTGCATGCCAACCTTTCTCTCCTTTAATTTGGTAATAGTCTCCAATTAATTCTTCATTTTTCCTATATTTATATACATACATATAAATAGTCGGAATTCGTAATGTTTTTCGCTATATCTAAATCCAGATTCTTTTTTTCTCGATTCTCCCTCCCTTTCTTTTTTATTCCTTTTAACTGTGCAAGATAATTTTCTACTATTATCTATTCGCAAATTTTATACATGCAACTTTATTTATTGTTTTTTATAATGATTATTTTAAAAATGTTATAAATAATTTCTTAGCCATATATTATTAATTAAACTCTAATTTTAATATTTTCTTCGAAAAATATTGTCTTTATTATTTTTCATCCGAATCTCCTTGGCAATGACCGGAAGTATATTTTTCTTAAAAAAAATAATTATATTCAAGTTAAGTGATGTAAAATAATTATGAATGATATAACACAATTTAAAGCCGATAATATGAATATTTTATACAAGTCTTAACCCAAGAGAGTATTTAAATTATTACTTTCTCTATATCTATATATAAATAAAAAAGGAAAATTTCACATAGGTTAATAAAATTAATTAAATATATTTAATTTACATAATTTTACACAAAATATATACTATATTTACTAAAATATTTCTAACTACACATATAATATAATAAATAGTATTTTCATTTATTGTCTTGATTAAAACTTGTTTATATTTTACTTTAAAAAAAATTATTTATTTTTATTTATATATAGTTACAAAGGGAATATTAATTTAAACATGTACTCTTGCTCAAATTAATTGTGCAATTCTTCAGTTGCAAATGATATAAATGTATTTTTAAGAAAGAATAGAGTATACGCTTACAACGATTTATTTGACAATTATTATAATTCTTTTTTCTATCTCTCTATCATTAATAAAAATGATGCAGTACAATTTTGTTACTTTTCCGTCTTAAATTAATTCCAGTTTTAACATTTAGAGAATGTCACAAAATAATTAATGTTTTCACTCTTCAAAATGATATTGACTTTTTTTTTAACTTATATGTCTTCATAAATTAACTATTCAAACACCGTAGTAAAAAATAATATTTTATTGAGAATGAAATTATTTTAATGAAATTATATTAAAAATAATAATAATATATTATTATTATTAATTTGTGTGTATAAACTTTAAGTTGTAATCGAACGAAGAAGTATATAAATATCATTTACTTATCAATAAACGCAATAAATGATGGCATGAAAATATATAAAAAACAATGATGTTATCTATTATCATTTTCCTATTTCCGAATATTCCTTTTGTTTTGATTATTTTATTAATTAAGAAGTAAGATATGAATTAGAAAGATATTTAGGGTTTTAAATTTAAAAAAAAATATTTTAATTATTATTTTTATCTCTCAAGTTGATTAAAAATATATTAACTGTTTTTAGGAAAAAAAATTAAAATTTTTATGTTTTAATTATAAAAAAACTTTAAAGTATCGAATTAGTGCATTTCTCTAATATTAATAATTTAATTTTGATTAGATAAAAATTATATTAAAAAAACATGAAGGTACCTAAACTTATCCACCCAAACAACAATTTGGTTTAGATTTTTAGAATGATAAAGGTAAAATCTAACCTAACCTAATCAAACATGAATTTTTTCATGTGTGGTATAAATTAAGTTTTAGAGCTGAAAACCTTATTAAACAAATTTAAAATTTAAAATTTCATTTCATATATTTGTTATGAATAAAATAATTAAAAAATTATTGATTCATAGGATATTTATTTTTATCTATATCTATATTTTTATACTAATAATAAATAATATATCTCCCTTCAAAAAAAAATATATATCTCATTTTAATATACACAATTTTTACATAATATTGTTTTTATAAATTTTGTAATATAGTATTTGTTTTATCCTTTATAATAATAAACGGGACAAGAGTAAGAAAGAAAGTGCGTCTCATTACAATACAATTAAGCGGGCGGCAGAATGTAGATGGTAAGATGGTGGAATTGATGTGTTGGCAACAATTAAATTCAATGCTATGTTTGCATGATCAACATTTGTCACTTTCACTTCTCACTCACCGTTTTCATGTTGGAACTTGGGATTAACTTTAATTAAGTTCAAGAATAATGTCAGTGATGTTTTTTTTTTTTTTAACACTTTTGTATTATTAATTAAAATTTATAAAAAAAAATCACAAAAGTTTGTTAATATTTTATTAATAGTTGAAAAAAAAATATTATCGAAAGAGTTTTTAGAAAGAGAATCACTAACTTTTCTTGTAATTTCAAATATTTTTTCCTTAAAAGAATAAACATTGACTTACCATTAATATAGACTAGTTCAATTAGTTGAGGAAAGTATGATAAATTATTATAAATTTTTTAGTACCAAGTTTGATTCCAGTAAAAGTAAAATAAAACAACGAACCTTTCTAAATTTATTGAACAGTAATTGAAATTGAGAAAATATTAAATAAGTTAATAAAATATTTGATAAAAATATTTAAACATAATTACTTATTATCATTTTAATTTATATATAGATAAAATAAAAGAAAGAGAGAAAAAAGAATCAGTTATTTCAAGAGTAAATTTTGATATTTAGTCTACTTAATAAATTATATTTTGCATGAAATTTTAACAATTCAATTATTAAATTAAAAAATTTTAATATAAATTTAATCTATAAATTTTTTAAAATAATTATATGATACATCGTTATATACAATTTAGTTCATATAATTTTTAAATTCTTAAAAATTTATAAATTTAATTTATACACTAATTTTTTTAATTCAATATTTAAATCATTGAAATTTGATTCGAATAAGTTATTTACTAGTGGAAGTTTCCCTATATTTTGTATTCCATCCGCAGTAGTAGAATTTCCCTTAGGTTTGTTTACCCAAACCTTGTATTCCATGTTCCATCAGCTGTAGTAGATCTTCCTAAATAATCCATATTATGTAGTAGAATGACTGATTCACATACTAATGTATGTGAATCTCCTATGTTCTCTAGATATCAAAATTGTTAGCTATTTGAACATTTTAGTTTCCTATTTTTAATTCTTGAACACAGTGTATCATCGTGGATCCAAATCATTTGTTCCCAAATTGTCTACATTCTTGTTCTACTAATAAATCATATTCAAATATTTTATTTAGACAAATTAATTTAAACTTTTAAAACTTTAAATTATTAGTTTTGATAAAATAATATAATTTCTTTTGTAGATAAAACTCAATTCTTAAGATTAAATTTATAAAACTAAATATTAATAATTTTTATAAATATTAATTTTATGGTGTGTTTGAATAAAAAAATTTAAAAATTTAAGAAATTTAAAATTTATAAAATTTGAATTATTTTGATATCAATTTTTATGATTCTTTAAATTTTTTGTTTAGATAAACCATTTCAAATTTTTAAGATTTTAAATTCAAAATTTTAATAAGGTAATTTTAAACTTTAAATTTTTATATCAACTTTGAAAGAGAAAAAAAAACAAGAATTTCAAATTCTTTTTTTTTTTTTTGAATAACTTGAAATTATATCATTTAAATTTTTTTACAAATATTTGAATTCTAAATCCTTTATAAATTTTCTATCCAAACTGTACTTCATACCAATACATTTAAAATTATTCAAAAAAGAATATTAAATTATCCCATTTAAATTTCTCATCGACACACACTCTTATTGGAGGGTTTGTTAATAAAACTGGTCGTGTAATATGTATGCTTCTTTTGTTGCGTGAGTTATAACTTGATCACAATTCTCATATGATCCATATTTCATAAGCGCACAGGGAATAGGTGTGGCAATGAGAGTTCTTGCAGCAAGCAGTGGCACAGGGGCTGATGGTTGCACTGGAAATAGGATATGGCTTGCAATGAGATTCCATACGATGCGCTTTTGGATTTCGTTGGTTGCAAGGATTTGGTTAGTAAGATAATTACGAATTGGAGAGTTGGGGCACTTCAATTGCTGAGTGTTTTAGTGTTGATCTTGGCTGGTTATCGAGTTCGTTGGAATGGATGTGTGGCTCGGGGTTGTGGTCATGCTCGAAGGTGAAGTGTGAGGGTAAGGTTTTGGGTGCTTGGGGGTTGGGACCATCGACCATTCCCACTATCCTAATTATACTTGATATTTTTACAATTGGTTTTTTTTTATTAACTTATTGTCAGAATTGAAGAAAACAGTTTAACAGGCACTCAACACGATTAAGGAAAGCATGCAACAAGGAAGTTCGTAGTTCTAATAATGTCTGTAAATGAATGTATAAATCAGGACGAATATCTTTTATTCAGCAAAAAAAATCACTTTCTCGGCCAGAAAGAATTACAGTGAGTATAGCAGCTTTCTGCGTTATGTAACAACAATCATAATTCCAACCTTACAAACACAATGCTTTCTTCAATTTCTCTTCTAGCAGGTCACCTCGGGACTGATAGACCGAGCTCTAAAATAAAACAAACGTTGAATTATTAGTAACATGCTAGAGTAGCAAACCCTAAAAAAGCAATGAACCAAAGACTGCAAAACAAAAGCTTTAAACAAGTTAAACTCCTATGCAAATGCATTGAAATGATGCCATGGTAATACATGCGCGTAGACGATTAATGTGTAATCTGAAAATTATAAGCTCCATTCATATGGCATTCGTACAAGTTACTTCAGAATAACTTATATAGGTAACATGTTTTAAACACAAATTGCGAGACAGGTTATATTGTTCTCCTAACTATTCAGACAGCAAAGACAAAAGATCCCACCTTAAGAACAGCATGCATGTCTCACGTCCCATCAATTCCATCTGACGAAAGTAGCAGTTATGTTATAGTATTATACTTACTTACTATAAAAGGATCATTCAAAATATCATAATTTTTTAAGGCAAATATTTGCATTCAAGAGTCTGATTGATAATCATTAACAGTCCTTAACTATCTATTTAACTTTCAATACCCAATGCACTCCTAATTCCAACTCCCCTATGTCCCACCGTTAGGCTTTTCCTTCATATTTCCAAATATATCCCACTGGCAACACCACTCGTGAAAAATTTAAAACGCTAGTCATTGACTCATTGTTAACATAGAAAGACACCTTAAACCACCATCTAGTTGCATAGCTATTTTGTAAGTTTTAAGACTTCAATAAAATTACAGATGTTATTTTTAGGTAAATGATATAGCCAGCTCAAGCGCAAATGCGATGGAGTACTGACTAAAGGTAATTTCTCTTTTCTTTTAAAATTTAACAAAAAAGGTTCATGAATCTCAAATAACAAGCAAGGAGGTTTAGCTCAGTTAGTTGGACAAGGTGCATGAGTAGCTGTAAATCTCGTGGGTACTGAGTTAGATTACAATGAATAAAAATAAATAAATAATCATCCAATGGGCAGCACATGCGAGTGATTATAAGCTCAATTGTTAACAACATCAGTTCATCACCCTATCATTATCAAAAGCTTTATAAGTAATGGCTATTTACTAAACAGAATACAGGACTTCAAGCCGTTCAACCATATGTAGAAAGAATGTATGGAAAAAACATAGTGATTAATGCAGTGACAAATCACGTCAAAAAAAGATCAGCAACAAAATGTTCATCCAATTTGCTGCTTGCATAAATGGGAAAAAAAGATTTGGGATTTTTTAAAAGGAATCACCAAACCACAAAAAATGGACAACTGATTGCAGTTACCGGAGGAACATAATTAAATCCTTTGCTTAAGAAACATTAAGAGAGGAAAGCCTGGGAAATGGAAACTGTCGATGAATATATAGACATTACATTATACAAGACTAATGTCACCAATTTCATTCCTCTAACTTCTTTTTCCCTCCCATTTTCATTTTCCCACACAAAAGAAAAAGGAAGCCATTATTCCAAAGGAAATCCATTCATTCAGACTTTGAATAACTGCAGAAGCAGCCAACAGAGTTTGTTTCCAAGATAACAAAAAAGGAAGCCCTATTCTAATATTGTTGAAGAGATTATTATGTTAAATAAACACTTAATTTTTTCATACTTGATAATGAAGCAGTAGGCCATAATTAGCTGGTCCCGCAATTTCCCAATTAACTATGTGCCTGCAGGAACCAAATTTTACAGTTAGTTAACATCAAAACTCCCAGTTAAAGCACTTTTACTTCTTACTCAGCCTCCAGTTTTTTTTTCCCCATAAACCCAGCTACTTAAACCACAATGCCCCAACTCTATAAACTAGAGGTTACTATGCTATAGTGCGAACAAAATATCGAGCTACATATCTAGTTGTTTCCTAAACGTTCCCTACACCCATTTTTCCAGCTAAATTCTTTTATCATTTCCTTTTTTCGGCTAATTCTCAACACTGCTTTTAAGTAACAACTACATCATGAAGAGAGCAAATGTTGCATAAATTCAACAAGCAGCAGCATATCCGTAAGAAAAATGTCAAACCAGGGGACCCTAATTAAACAAACAAATAGAAGTAGAACAATGTTTTTAGTTTTATTTCTTCTTAATTTTAATATTTCACTGAAAAAACTTATTCAAAAGCGGGAAGAGAAAAAAAAATCCTTAAGAAACACTTAACCCAAGAAGCAAGGAAGCTACTCACACTTTGCGAATAATTTTGAAAAAGAAAGTATTAGAGGCCGGGAGAGGTGCAGCAGAGAGTACCCTGAGAAAGCGCTCGGCAGCTTCTGGAAGTTACGCTCAGGCACGACGTCATTCTCGCCGCCGCCACCGCGCTGTGCAGCGGCAACATCGACTGCGCGCATCTCAGTTCCGGCGAAATCCTGCAAGAGACCGAATATTTTAATATTTTTTTGCGATTAGCAACAGAAACGAACGTCGTAGGGTGAAGGGAAACCTGGTTAACAAGGATGGGCGAAGAGGAGAAGAGGAGGAAGCTGGTTTGGAGAATGAAGAAGTGCGAATGTTGGATTTGATTGCCGATCTTATGGACGAAATTGATGTTCGTTGCGCGATTCTGCTGCACGCGGAAGCCATTGACGATCGGAGAAGGAACCAGAACAGCGCAAGCAAGGGTTTAGGGTTTAATTGCTTCCAAATGGAAACTGTCGGGTCTGCTACTCTGGACTATTGGGCCTTTTCATCGTTTGGGCCTCGCCTCTTTCGCTTCGATCTACAATACTGCTTTGTAAAGATTTTTTTTATTGTGAGATTAACATCACTAAACAAAAATACTTGATGGTGTTTAATCTATTGACACTACATCACATTGAACTCTATATAAACTGAGGGAAAATAGTGTAATAGGAGTTTGTCAATCATACTACATAATTATACTAGTAGTTTACGAATCACAACTACGAAAATATTGTAACCTTAATATAACATGAAAAAAGTTTAAGGTAATGTTTTTAGCCATCATAATTGTCTTCAAAGCATAATCATATCATTATATGTTGTTGTATCACAAAGATGACCACATCAGTACACACATATTGATATATACATGCATCTCCATATGCAACAAGTTCAAATAAGAAAATACCTTATTTCGTTCAAGTTCAAACTAAAACTCAATATAAATCTAAATGAAAATGTGCAGAAGATCATATGCCAAAAAAAATATGATTGAGATTGAAACCTGTATAAATTTAACTTGCTCAATACCATATGTAAAAAAAGTATGATTCAAATTTTGAGGTTATGAAATAAGAAGAAGCAATCAGTATACAAATCCACCAAATGTTAAAAGATAATTAACTAAATGAAATTAACACCAAAAGGACATTGTCATTAATAATTATTCATGAGATAAGATTTAGAGTTTTCCACTAAAGCATTCCATATGTCATTCAAAATATTATACGAAACACCATTACAACATCCCAACGCTACAAAACATGATTCATATACAAATCATTCCAAAATGTTATTCTAAAATACTCAACACACTCCTAATTGAAATATGCTGTATTTTCCTTAAATCTTCCAATAGCAACATGTGATTCATGTATCTATGGACAAAGTAATAGCATGTGTTGATGCAGGTGCACACAGCACACATGACCCAATTATATCAATATTCACAAGTTTTGTTCCATTACTTTAAGCAATTAATGAAGTAGTATTTCTACGTGTAGGTTGTGTTTGTGACACTCACTACTCCAAAAATTATTATCATTACATGTTGCAAAAATACTTAATAAAAAACAATGCATCTAAAAATATTTTTGCGAGTAAAGAACACTACATTCAAATCATAACATTGTAAATAAAAGGGCATTGACACTCCAAAAATCATTAGAATCTTACCTTAATACCTCAGCTCAGTGTATTTCCTTCTCTTCGAAGTTGTGTTTTTCCTTCGCCACTTACCATGTTCCCATCCATTAGATACATTATTTTTGCCCAGGTTAAGTAGTCAATCGCTAAGTTTTCTCCCACACAAAGCCTAACACATCACTTATAGTGAAAGGAGGTAAGAGAGAATGTAACCCTCACACATTATACAAAGAAGATAAAAAAAAAAAAAAAAAAAAAAAAAAAAGGGGAGAAGGAGAAAAAATAAAACAGTGAGAAGGAGAAAATATGACACAATAATGGTAGATAAATATTTTTATTCTATCTTGTTTCATTCATTTACTTTTTATTTTATAATTATAAAACTCTAATGACCAAGGACAAAGTTATTCATATAGTTAAAAGAGGGCCTTGGCTCCTCTAGTTTTATATATATATATTGTTGGGGAATTTAGAACACTGGAAAGCATTCCACATAGTGAGTAGTGAGTAAGTCACACAAGTGAGCTTGACACCACAACATAACCTAAAACCTTAAGGCATTAGGTAGGTGGGTCTTTCTCACTTATATATTACTCAACATGTCCAACTCTAACCAATGTGGGACTTCGCTTCACACTTGAATTCCAACACTCCCCCCCAAGTGTGAATCCCTTCCACATGGTCACGCTCCTCCTCAAGCGGAAACTTTTTTCTTTCGTCCACGAGTATTCAATGGTGGCCTTACTTGCACTATCGTTGCACTTCAACGACACACGTCCTCCACACCTCTAGGGAGACTTTCAGTACAAGGGATGATCCTACTCTTGGATCTCCTGCCAATTCCATTTAGGATCCCACTCTTAGATCCAACCAATACTCGTCTGAGCCGATCACCAGTCACTTGGTCGAACCATCAGCTCTGATACCAATGTTGGGGAGTTTAGAACACTGGGGAGCATTCCACATAGTGAGTAGTGAGTAAGTCACACAAGTGAGCTTGACACCACAACATAACCTAAAACCTTAAGGCATTAGGTAGGTGGGTCTTTCTCACTTATATATTACTCAACATGCCCAACTCTAACCAATGTGGGACTATATATATATATAAACATTTATGCATTCATTAAGATTATTACTTTTTATTAAAGAGATTTGATTATGAAAATAATGAAATTTAACTAAAATTTATCTTTTTTATTTGACAAAATATTTTGTTTCTTTTTTTATATTTTTTGTTGTAAATATTTGTCTCTTGTTAAATAAATATTCTATTTACTTTTTTAATGATCTCCATTTAAAAATAATTATATTTTCTATTTTTAAGCAAAATGCATTTAATTGATTTTCTTTTTTAATATTCTCCTTTTCTATTATAACTCTATCCGATCTTAAAAGTTATAAATGATCATATTCACAATCAAATAAATTTTTTAGTTTGATTATTTAATTATAAATTGATTTGAGAGTTAAAAATTATTATTAAGATTTATCAATAGGACAAATTTATATAAACTATATAATAAAATGACATCTTTTTAGTTTTTATAGAATAAGAATTGACATCATGGAAATTTTAAGACCTATCAATAAATTTTCTTTTATTATATGATTAATCTTCTTTTATTTTATTTTTTTTCTTGTCTTGTCTTAGCTAAGTTACACATCATTCTTTTTTCTTTTACAATGGCTATTAATTACTATGTTCATAAAAATAGTTCAATGAATAAATATTTTGATTAAATATATTTTTATAACACAATTAATATAACTTTCTTTTTAAAGAAATTATGATTAATGATTAATACGTATATCAAATTTTATTATAAATTCATGAAAATTTTTAGTAGTACATGAAACTAGTGATTAACAAATGTAATTTTGTGGTGTAAAAAAAACAAATGTAATTTTGTATCTTCTAAAAAAAATATTGAGTTTATTGTCTATGCAAACATGTTTTCTAAAATTGTTTTGAAAAGTGATTAATAATGAATGTTATATATATATATATATATATAATTTGATATTTATATATTTATTAAATTTATATTAATTTTATAGTTAGTCCCTCTTGTATTTTAGGTTTAACTATCATTATTCAATGTTTAACTTGATTAATCAATGGATGTCCATTTAACATCAAGACTGTTTTGCATTTTTAAAACCAAAAGGATTCGATATCTCTATTTTAATATAGGGTGACCTAAATTACGGATTAAGAAAAATAAAAAGACTTAAAAGATAATTTAATCAAATTTTAATCTAATATAATTGGTTTAGCAAGTTAAATAAATCAACCTAATAAATTAAATCCATTCCACCATTTATAATTTTTTTTTAGAAAGGAGCTATATAAAAATAATCATGTGATTTACCTCAACACATTCATGTGCTACCATCTCTCTTTTTTTATAATAAATTATAGTATATTTTGGTAAAAAATCAAAGACTAATCTCTCATACTAAAATTATTTAAGTGATTAACCTCTCACAAAATACACACACATGAGTTCATAAATAAAATCCTTACCACATTCTTAAGATATATGATTATTTTTTGATTATTTCACACCATGTTCATATATAAAAAATATTGAATGGGTTAAATTTTGATAATTTACATTATATTTTAGATTATAAATATGTTATCATGAGACACATGACTCTATCTAAATCGATGATGGATGAAAAGTTTGTCTTATGAGATATTATTCCATGATCCTTTCAGCAGCTTTGATCTCTAGTCCAACTGTAATTCATATATACAGTAGAAACTCTTTAAATTAATACTCGATAAATTAATAAACTCTCTAAAATAATAAATTTGTCCGGTCCCGACTTGGGCCAATGTAAAAAATTGAAAAACTCGATAAAATAATAAGAATAATTTTTCGGGAGATCCCTTTATAATTTTCGGTCCCAAGAAAATCATAAATTAATAATTCATAGAAATTGAAAAAAAAAATATATTACACTCTATTGAAATATGATTCAATAGTTATCTGTTTTCCTTTAAAGTTCAAGTCTATTTGGAACTCATCTCTAACTTTTCTTATTGCATCCAATAGCTCAGGTGTTGTATTTTTGTATTGTATCATAAAGTCTATTTGGAGTTGTCTGTTTTGCCTTTTTATTTGGTATGTACAGTATAATTACTTAAAAACTCTTTAAATTAATAATTATTAATTTATCGATAAATTAATAACTCTCTAAATTAATAAATTTCTCCGATTCTGACATTATTAATTTAAAGAGTTTCTACTGTATAGATTGTTTGACATTGTGATAATAAAGGTAGAGTATAGTTCCACTACTGTGAACTGTTGGATTAATAGAATGTATTGGATTGAGACATGTGTACTATAATTTTTTATTTCAATCATTTACATGTTTAACTTATTTCTTTTCATACTTAACTTTTTTTATTGGTAGTCAAAGGTGGGGTACTCCTTATATTCCTCTTAAACCATTGTTTGCTCTCTCTAATTTGCTAAGACTAGTGTTCTAAATCATTGTTGTTGTTATGTCCATACTCTATTCTATCTACCTTCCCTTATCAAGGCATGATTTCTTGTCCTTAACTCCTTCCTCAACAATGACCCCCAAAAAGGCTCTCAAGCTCTTTCACTTTGTCATGTGTTGTATCTACAAGCTCCCAACCCTAACATGATGGTGACATCATGCCTCAATATTGCAGCGCTCAACATGTGCGCTAATTTTGACTATGCAAAGTCTTTGTGTAAGTGTTCGATGAAATGCCCCAATTTAATGTTGTGCTTGATGCATTTTGTTTTAACACTGTGATAAAATTGTTTTTAGAATTGATAGGAAAGATTTGATTGTGTTAAAGAGTATTCTTAAATTGGAGATTCGTTGTGTGACCACTTTCCAGTCCCTTGAGTGGGCATGTGCTTAAATTAGAGATTCTTAGTGTATAAACACTTTTTAATCTCTTGAGTGGATGCGTGAATAATAGAATGAGAATGTTTGCTTAATCTAATGCAATATCATGATTTTGTGAAACATGTTGATAAAATAGTACTATAACTTAAGATTGGTGAGAGAAGCGAAAAAAGTGATTTGAAAAATATTATTACTTACAAATAGACTTTTTCTATTTATAAGAATCATAACATAACTCACTCATGTATATTAAACATGTTAATGATGTTAAATATGATAACACATTCCTTCAATAATAATAATAATAATAATTTGATAAATTCCAAGAGACAAGAAAATTTAGAAAAAAGAATAAGAGAAAAATTGTAATGGAGCAACCTACCTTCTCTTAAAGTTTGTAATAGTGTATGTTGTGTTACTTGTTGGCATGTTGCTAAGGAAGCTAAATATTAGTCGTGTATGATTTGGAGGAGAATTTGAGTTGCTGCATTTGGACATGATTCAACTTAATTTATTTTATCCATGAGTTGTTTCAAACTATAAAAGAAGTCTACCCTATGTGTATTAATTGGCATTACTTACCAAATTACAAGTACAGTTCGCTGATGCATGTGGTGACAATTGTTGTTAAAATACAATTGCAAAGACGTAAAAAAAGGTAATATTGCAAGCACCACTGCAGTAGCAAACTGCAATTTCAAACAGGGATATTACAATATTAATGATTCATGATTGATACAACTAGAAGAGTGGTCTCAACGGATCCAGAGTTTAAGGAAAAATAAAGTTAAACACATGAATGGCTAAAATAAAATTTCACATCACAGGTGTCAAAATCCAACGGTTCAGTGTTGTTAAACTGCACCCTACCGTTCTGCCACAACCTCAGACAACCCGAATCCGTAATTCACGTAAATTCATTTTCTGTCACTCTCTTTTTCACGCTGTCGTTAACTCATAAAACCAGGTCACGACATTATTTCTTCCCCTACTCATCACATCTAATAACCGAATCTAAGGTAAACTACAGCAATCTAAAGCAAATCACAAATAAAATTAAAGAGAAAAAAAAGAAAGAAATTGAAACATTTTGAGTTAGGGAAAAGGAAAGGAACCTGGAAGAAAGGTTTTGTGCTGAAAAGAGGGTCGAGTATCGTTGTCCCTCGGTTCACATTTCAGAATTGTGAAAAACCCTAAATCAGGGTTCCAGCACATTGGGTCGATTCTGAGAGTGGAAAGCGTCTCGGGATGAGGAAGCGGGGGTGAGGAAATCGGAATGGGTGTGTGGTTGTGGACCAACGTGGCTGTGTTGCAGCTTAACGGCAAACACAAAGACGTGTGTTGGAGATCCACCGCTGCAACAACGGCCAAGTCCGTGCCTTGGTCGGTGATTTGCGGGGTAATGCTATTCGGGCTGGGCCTCATTTCCCTCTTGACGGGCCACGTGGCCTCTCATCTCGAATGGTACTCTCACCGACGCTCTCTCTACTCCGCACTGGATGGAAGTGATCGTGCGCCTATTGATATTTGGAAATCGCAGTATTCTAAATACTACTATGGATGCAAAGAGAGGGGGCGTCGTTTTGGTCGTAAGTGAAGCCTTCTCACTTGCTGCTGTCTCTTGCTGTTTTTCAACTTTTGTGTCATCTAGACTGCATGTCTTTTTATGTCATGCAGCTGCTGCTGCTGCTGAATCAAGCTTTATAACCTGATGCCAGTTTTGGAAAATTTTAAGTTGAGAATTGAGAGTGTTGCGGCTTTCCATCTTGCCATGTTTGTAATTGTAATTACTCTTTTGAGCCCGGATAATCTTCTTCATAAACACTTGTGGAGGTAAAAAAATAGAAAGGAAAGATGAAATCAACTTCTTCCTAATGTAAAACTTATGCATGAGTTAAAAATGGGTTTTTGGAGAACTTAATATGAGAGGACTTCTGAAAGTTAGCTTGTGCATAAGTTAATTTTGGCTTTTGGAGAAAATAATTTCATATGTTCTTCCTATTTTCTTCTTCTATATGTGTTTTTGGAGAAGTTTACCCAGATAGACTTTTACTTTATTGTTGAAATTCTTTGCTGCTTTGAGTTATGTGTTATGATCTTTCAGTGATATCCTTCATGATAGCTAATGTCTTTGCATGCTTTTGAACTTGGCTTTTTTGATAAATTTTTCCATAAGCACCTCAAAGTGAAAAAACAAATAAAATGAAAAAATGAAAAAAGTTAAAGTTAAAATTTGCTTTTACACAAGTTAAAAAACATATTTTGAAGATACTAATATGGGAGAACTTATACAAATTAGCTCATCCATAAGCTAATTTTAGTTCTGGAGAAATTTATTTAATTTTTGCTTCTTATTTTCTTCTTCTAAAAGTATTCTTGGAAAAAATTATCCAAACATGCCCTTTTATGGTACTAGAAGTTAACTTGTGGGTTTCTTAGTATACAATTATTTTATTTTTTACTTCATTCTCTAGTTTTCTCAGCAGAACCCTTTGGTGTTTTACTATAGTTCACTACCCCTGTGCTCTTACTGCAAAATAATAGGTTTAGATTTGTAACAGTAGAAGTGACTCTACTTTATCGGTTATAGGCTAGCATTTTATGGATTGAAAAAACTCAAGTCTCACATCAACTAGAGATAAAAAAAAAATAATAATGTATATAAGTAGGAGCAACCCTTACTTTACAAGACTATTTTGTAGGATTTAGTTAGGCTAAAACCCATATTGGGTGAAATGAGAAAATTTCAAATCTTATATCAACTAATAATAATGTTAAAATAGAATATATAAGTGGGAAACAACTCTCACTTCACAAGTTACATAAGATTGAATTAGGTTCAAATTTAAATTCTAAGATTATGCATGGTGTTTTGCTGCTTTTGTGTATGGCACAGTTTGATGGATATCCAATTCTTCCATATTATATTACTTGTAGCAGCTGAATGTCTTTCAAAACTTTGGATGATTTGCACTCTATTTAACTCAGCATGCTAAAACATCTTCCTGATATTTTAAACACATGTATTATATGTAAGTGCAAGGAGTACTATCCTTATGCATTGAATTTTTAATGTGTCTCGAAAACACATTTCTCTTTAAGCTATACGTATGCTAAAAACCTCGAGTGGTGCAATCCAGGTTGTAAGATGTGTCTATATGATGCTTTATTAAGCTGAACTAAATTTTTCTACATGTCACTTTTTATCTTATTTTGGTTATTGGATTATATAGCTGCTGTACGTGAGCGCAAGTCCAATGGATACTTGCTAATTGCAACAAGCGGAGGACTGAACCAACAAAGAACTGGGGTAAGTAGGACATAAGTTTTATGATATGTAATATTTTCATTGCAAGAATCTTCTGTAATATCTTCCGGTCACTGGTTTGATACCTACACCTTTATGGATGGAAAATATTAGTGTTCGGTGGTCCTGGTTGTTCTCCCATTTATTAAAATAATTAACAAGATGGGAACTGTTTTCTTTTAACTCATTGGTTCTGTTTCAGTTGTTTTCAGAGAATATGGGCCACAGCTTCTTTATGTATCCATAAATCATGATGATAATTTCCCTCTATCATTTTTCAATAAAATTAATAGATTCTTATGGAAATGACAATCATGTTTTTGCCTCCAGATAACAGATGCCGTTGTTGTTGCAAGAATTCTTAATGCTACCCTAGTTGTACCTGAATTGGATCATTATTCTTTTTGGAAGGATGACAGGTAATCTATAGATCCTATCATAAATCATTATTCAGATTACAGTTGACAAAATCAAGTTAACAGTTTAACTTTTAATAAAATGTTGTTTGAATACAGTGACTTTTCCAATATTTTCGATGTGAATTGGTTCATTACTTATCTCGCAAAAGATATTACTATTGTTAAAAGAGTTCCTGATAAGATCATGCGGTCAATGGAGAAACCCCCTTATACAATGCGTGTCCCGAGAAAATCAGAACCTGAATATTATCTTGATCAAGTTTTGCCGATACTTTTGAGAAGACGGGTAATGCCATGTTTTATGATTGATACATGTATGAAATTTCTTAATTATTTTGCTGGAAAATGTTTTGATTCTGTAAACGACTACTATGATGAAACATTAGTCATTGCTTAATGTCAATTTGGACAATTCCCTCATAACTTCTGCTGTGGTAGTCACTGACTTTTCAAATATTTTGTAGGTTTTGCAATTGACAAAATTTGACTATAGACTTGCAAATAATCTTGATGATGAGCTGCAAAAGTTACGTTGCCGTGTTAATTATCATGCCTTGAGATTTACTAAACCTATTCGAGAACTTGGTCAAAGACTTGTAATGAGAATGCGAAAGATGGCAAGCCGTTTTATAGCAGTCCATTTGAGGTTTGCTCAATGAACCTGATGTGTAAAGCTCTAATTCAACTTCCATCTAAAGCTAAATGGTGTGGGTTGGCCATCCAATCCCTTCACTTCTGTAGATCTTAGAACTGGTTTTCTCTTGTTTGCTCTCTCACATTCACATATATGATATCCAATCTTATCCCTTTTAATATTGACTCATCAATCTGGTTGATTTGGCTTTCCCATTTTCACAACTCCTTTCTGATTTTCTAAAATTGGTTGTATTTGCATTGAACAATTTGAAAATATCAACTCTCCAACACAATTTAATAATAGCAACATGGCAGGTTTTAACTATGGCCATTGCATACATAAAATTTTAAGGATCTTATAATTCATAATGATTCATGGCAGGTTTGAGCCAGATATGCTGGCATTTTCAGGTTGTTATTTTGGTGGGGGTGAAAAAGAAAGACACGAGCTTGGTGAAATCAGGAAAAGGTGGACAACATTGCCTGTAAGTATGCAATCCTGACTTCTAACGGCAAAATCTTATCGTACTGACAAAATGACAAGTTGATGACATTCTGTCCTTTTCTAGCTTGTGCTGAATTCCCAAAGTAGTTAAAACTAGTCATTTCTTTACTGATATGTGAGCCATTACCTTGTGGTAATACAGGATTTGAGCCCTGATGGAGAGCGAAAGCGTGGGAAATGTCCTCTTACTCCTCATGAGGTGGGTTTGATGCTGCGTGCACTTGGTTTTACAAATGACACATACCTCTATGTTGCATCAGGAGAAATATATGGTGGGGATGAGACCATGCAGCCTCTCAAAGATCTTTTCCCCAACATTTATACAAAGGAAATGCTTGCTCAAGAAGAGCTGAAACCTTTTCTTCCATTCTCTTCCCGCCTTGCTGCTATTGACTACATCGTTTGTGATGAAAGTAATGTATTTGTCACTAACAACAACGGTAACATGGCCAAAATCCTTGCTGGTCGTAGGTAAGGAGAATACATGATGCCACCCTCTTATTCTTCCTTTATGTTTCAAAAGACAAATACAAATAAAACGTTATTCTTATGTTTTGGCTTTTCATATCAACTTTTATATGAAACAGGAGGTATATGGGTCACAAAAGAACTATCAGACCAAATGCAAAGAAGCTTAGCGCATTGTTCATGTCAAGGCATGAGATGGAATGGGATACATTTGCTAGCAAGGTTAAAGCGTGCCAAAGAGGATTCATGGGAGAGCCAGATGAGATGAGACCTGGACGAGGAGAGTTTCATGAATATCCAAGCACGTGTGTGTGTGAGAAACCATTTATAGATGATCTGAGCCAAGATGGAATCCGTCCCCCTAAACTTGCAGCCTACAACGTGACCACGAAAGCATACTCTGCAATGAACTGAGGAAATGAAGAAAGTGTTGTACTACGAAAGCGAAATTGGAGAAGGGCCAGCACGTGATAAAATTGAGTAACTTTGGACCGGTGTCATTAATTGGAGGAAGAAATAAATTATTATTAATGGCAAGAAATGCTCTACGGCAATGCCTCCATTTTAACGTCTGATTTGGCTACTATCAAGTTAGTGCTAATTTAATTAGCTACGGCCATGATGAATGGCTCAATTCAGATCCATGTATAGGGTTAAACGTGAGAAACATCAACGCTTTGCAAATGTTGATAATAGATATGTTTGGATTAGAATCAGTTGAACACTTGTAGGTAATTTGATTTTGCAATTTCTTCCCCAGTTCCATATTCTAACTTATTTCCGTCCATTTAATAAATTGCCTGATGACCTTCCCCACAGATGACCTAATATTGACAATTTTGCTATAAGCTTATAATGAAAGTTGATGAACAGATTCACACATAATACATGATTCGTCAATTATAAATGTTAACAGTTGGGCCGTTTTAAATTTCCAAATCTAATATCACTTGGTTTTAACCCTTAATGAATTTCATTATAAAAGAAAAAAATCATACTATACTAATACTGCTGCCGCTGTTATTAATATTATTATTAGAAGTTTAGCACTACAAATTTTAGCAACCTAAACTTGCTGCAGAGAAGTATGCCAAAGGACAAAATGGAAGTGGAACTGGGGATGGGTAAAAGTCGATATCCAATGAGGAACATGACGCTAACATTTGATCATATCGACAAACCTTTGTATAAACATGTCAACATGGATAAATTCCATATACAGCCTACAGGATTAAATTAAATCATATTGTAAACAAGATAAAATCAATATTGACATCTACTGGGGGACTAGTCTCTGCCTAAACCGAAGGAAACAAGAATTTCCACTCCTATGTTCCCTATTATAAATATACATGTCTATGTCGAATGTGGTGGTCTTTCAACTGAACCGCACATTGCAACTCCTCGTTCAACCTTGGTTATTACCTGTTGCAATCATAAAGTACAAGCATAAATATAGATTCACAAGGTTAACAAAAGCAGGCGACTCACTCGAAGAATTATATATATATTCTCACCCCTAGTAGTATTCCGATTCTGGCTTTTGTGACCCTTTTCATGTGAAGCAGAAGGAATCTTTGAGATAATTAAAGAGCTCTGCAATCCTTCTAATAGCTGCCAACCCAAAGTCAACCCCATCAGACTCAACAGAAGACAACGGTGCAAAAAATACATTTTTTACAGGTCAGACAGTGGAAATGGCTTATTAAACTTGAGACAAGAAAATAAAATAAGACGCAACCTATAAAATCAATTTCAGTTAACAGCAGGTATGTTCTTACTCTTGATGTTGGCTGGATCCTGCGATTGGATCTACGAGGCTCAGTGATTTCAGATGTTGATTTCACTGGATTTTCATTAAAAGCTTTTTCCTCGTCAATCTTACCCAAACCTCCACCAGCAGGCGCAAGTTTTCCTTTACTTGCCCTTGATGTTGATGTCTTTTTAGTGGGATGAGAATCAGTTGAAGACGCAACTGATGAATACAAGATTGGTCCGCCCCCAGCTCCAGTGTTTCCAGAATAAGATGCTCTTTCCACCTGATGTTCACTCCTAAAATGACTTGAAGAATCCTTGATCCTTTCAGCACGACTTGTCAGATCATTAGTACGAGAGTTTGATAAAGGGTTTTCTTTAGGTGGGATCACTCTACCCAAAACACTTTGCGGCTTTCCAGACTTAAAGGAGGGCCTGGAGTCAGCTCCTAATTTCTCCTTGGTCTCATTTTTGGAACTAATTTTCCACCCACGTGATCCAGTACCGTGAGGTATCAAGAAATTTGCAAGCTTAACTGAATCATTTCCATCCTTGATCTTACTTGTCCCATCTTCAACATAGTGCTTGCTTACTTCCATGAATTTCCTTTTCTTTGCAGGTTTAGGAACACCAAAAATCACTCTTGATCCTTCTTTTTGAAGACCAGTCCGAGCCATTCTTTGTGCATCAGATTTATTTTCGTTCTTGCTGTTCTTACCAATATTGAACACTTTATCATTTTCACTCAAGTCAAGTAACCTCAACTCGCCAGGATTTGCTGTCTCCACAACATCAGAACCTTTTGGAATCTTGTCTTTCCCTTTTACTTCTACTGCAGGATTACCCAACTTAGGTCGCTTTTCACGAGGTGTATCACCCTGCATGCAAAACTTACGAGTCAGTACAGGCATGCATCAAGTTAAACCATCAGGAAGAGGTTGCAAACAAAGTACCTCATGGGTAAAACTTTCAATTGCTCCAACCTTGGGAGACTCGATCCATTTCCCATCCTTCCAAACAAGGGATGGACGTAGATGCCAATCTCTGACAACTGATGTTTCTCCACTAACTGCGGTAAACCAATTACATTATATGTTTCCAGGAGGCTCTATACAATTGTAAGCACAATATAAATTAATGTTTAATCAAATAACGTACATACCTGGGAAGTGAACAGTTAATGTCTTATCTTTCTTATTCTTATCTGTCAAAACTCCTTCCTGCCAGCTGATAACATAAACCATCAAATGTGAGATGACTTCCACAGGAAAATATAGGTGTATTGTATACAGCTATGGTCCCGTTTGGATAGCTGAGGTGATATTTTGATTTTAACTTATAAGAGAAACTCAATTCGTTCTACCTTCGTATTTTCTTCTCCACAAGTGTTCATAGAAAATAAAATAATAAAAAAACAAAAAAAAAACAGGGCATATATAGGAAATACAAATTAGAAATACAAATTAAAAGTGCTGCAGCTTAACGAAATTTCAATAATAAAAACATGATCCTTCAGAGCCAAACACCAAGATTTTGCAGCTTTGATTTTTCTTTTAGACAAAAGCTAATATTAGGATGAGTTGAATCTGTAAGACCTTGAGTATCTCTTTCTCCTGAAGGAACCAAATGTGTATTTAAAGATGCTATTTATTGGTATTATCTGAAAAACATTCCTCAAAATGGTGGGTGCTATACTATTACTATTTATCAAAGACTATAATCAAGAACAATTATGCCTGTGCTTTCAGCGTGATGAATCCTATCAGTGCAACAAAACTCACTCCCTTTTGCAAATTTCTTGATATGCATCTTAACTATAATTGATGAAGACAGAAATTTTCTAGTATCAACAATCAAACCTTTCGATACTAGATACACATTAACTCAATAGTCAATACAATTATTAAAAAATACATCTAGTTACTTCATTTATGTCAAAAAGAAAGGAACCAATTTACATCCCCTGTATCCATGGGCATGGATTGGTGCCAAACAAATAAAACCTTAAAAATTGAAATAGAAAATTTCACAGGAAAATACCCCCTAAAACATGTTATATATTATATAAAGTATAAATATATATTAAAAACATCAAATTCAATTCCAGAATCATCACTAGAATAGTGGAGATAACCATACCTTTCTTGTATCCACGCATCAACCCTATCCCCAACAGACCAAGTATAATCTACTAAAGCTGCCCTCCGTCTCTTCTTTGTTCCTTCATTATGCAAACCAGTAAGAGTACGAGCAGTACGTATTCTGGGAGGTTTGTCATCTTGACCATCAAGTGAAACCCATTCCTTCAAAGGCCCTGTACCTGGAAACAACAATTTTTTCATGATTAATTTTCCAAGAAATATCACTGCAGAGTTATATGATCCAACCTAACAGCTTTTTCTTTCGAATGTCCAATTCTAATTTTCTCAAATATATACACTATAGCCCACCATTGGCTCTTGTAAATAGAAAAAGAATTGAAAAACAAATTCATGTAGTTTGTCTCACAGGTCAAGTAGTTAAGGTATTTTATTCTCAAAAGCTTGACCAACCTTCATCGTCTACAAGCACAGTGTAGCACACATAAGCTTTACCATCCTTCAAACTTATTATATTGGCCGTGTACCATGCTGCTTTAAATCCTTCTCCATCTTTGAAAACCTGATGATACATATGATTGATTCAGATAGCCAGGAAAAGATGTAATTTAAAATCAGATCCATATCGAAAAGAATGCATCTAATTTTAATTACAAACTATGACCTAATCATCACAAAGATTGTATGATCACAGTGAAAGCAAATGGCCATTAGTATGGATACTCTAATCAAATCAACTAAAGAAAGCATAACCTAAGAGAACTACCTCTACAAGTGAGCCCTCCTTGAAGTTATTTCCCTCCACATTTTCAGGCCCATTACCAGCTGTGAAAGCAGCCTTTATTTCAGTCTCAGATTCAGGAAGCACATCAATGGGATTGACTAAATCAGAAACTCTACGGCCCTTTGGTCCTTTTGAACTCTTTTCACTGGTGTTAATAATAGGAGAAATGGCATCAATGGACCTCATAAGGTCCTGAGGTATCTCACTATGCATTGTATGAAAAGGCAACTTCTCACTTGCAGCAGTCTTCTTCCCCTTTTCATGAGATGAATTATCTCTATTACATATATGAGAACTTTCCAGTCTGTCTCCAACATTGTCAACATTCACCAGACCACTGGTCACGTCTTTCAACAATCCAACTTGCTGAGAGGACTCTTGGGCTACATTCCAACAACCCCCTGGACCAGCTTCTACCAGGTCATTTAATTCCAAAGGATCTCCCATAGTAACAATCTTTCCAGCCTGGGATACAGCTTCTGCTGCCAGCTCAGCAGCCTTCAGAATAGCATCCATATTTTCAGCTCGTTTTCTGGCAGCTGAAGCGGCTTCCATTCTCCTCCTTGAAGCCTCCTTTGCAGCTCCAATAATAGAACTAGAGCTATTGGTTCCAATAGTACCCCTCAAGATGGACGCAGGGGTTGCTTTTCCCAAGTTACTCACAACCCCTGAATGAGAAATTTGACAAGACTTATCATAACCAGATGAAACTAATGCTTCATCAGCCATCAATTTTGCATGCAAAGCAGCATTTGAAGCAACATTGGCAGCAGCAGCTGCTGCCTTTGCAACAGCAGCAGCAGCTGCAACTGCAACTGCTGCAGAAGCCAATTTGGCCTCGATATCTGACACCAATCCAGAATTTTTTTGCTTATCCAACTGTTTCCATATCTCCAGGCTGTGATTCACAGCAGCAGCAGAAAGAGCAGAAGCTTCCTCTGCATTTACCCTTGCCTCCTTAATTTTCATAAGAGACTCATCTGACAGAATCCTCTTCTCAACATTCCAGTCACTTTTGAGGTGATCAGCAAGAGATAGAGGAGTTACAGGCAGAACTGATATGGGAACACTCCCAACAGGGGTTGCAGTGGCAACAGTAGATATATGGCTGCTTACAACAGGAGTAGGTACTAGTTGAGACTGCAAATGCACAGCCTTTTGGCCAAGATCCTCAGATACCATGGCTTTTTTTCTTTTTTTGGGCTTTGGATCTGAAGAATGCTGAGCATTCGATGCCATCAGGTTGTTTGTATCAAGCACAGGGGAAGTTGCTATAAATACACTTTGTAGGCCTGCACTAGAAGCTGGAAGACCAGGAACAGCATTCTTCATGCTAGAGGAAGGAGGTACAGAAGATACTTTGACCGAACTGAACTGAAAGGTATCTGTGAGAGGTGATGCAGAAGGATGGGGATTATTGTTATCAGGAGCAGGAGTCCATGCTCCACGAAGGGGGGTTTGGGATAACCAAGATGTGTTATGTCCAAGAAAGTTTCTGAGAGGTGTGGTTTGATACGGATGCAAAGAAGCAAGTGCCTGTGAATAATCCATAACAGAACCTCTAGCAAAGGCACTAGATTGAAGGGGATCACAGGAAGGAGTTGGTAGGCTCCAAAGGGGGGATGAAAGGGGTACTAAAGGGTTTGCAACTGTTGGAGTAGCCTTGCTGCCGGCTAGGCCAAGAGGTGAAGAGATACCTTTTCCTTGAAGTGCATTTTGCTTAACTGTGACATCAGTGGTTCTGGAACCTGCAGATCTCAATTCTCAATAGTTACACAATAAAATTAAAGAACAAATTAAAAATTAAATATATATGTCTATACATATAAAGGTATAAATATATATAGGATACCAGATTTTGATTGCAGAGGTGTTTCTGGGTCAATAGGATAAGACTTTTTACCATGCTGCCTTTCCATGCAAGAAGACCATGCATTCTGCCAAATGCTCCTTCCACCATCTGAAAATATAATGAAACTCAATACTTTGTTACAAACAAATAAGAGTAAAGAGCATGCAAAGGGAACATGATTCGGGAAAAAAAAAAACCTGGGCCCCCAAAAGCTGATATCATATATGCCTCATCAGGTACCGTGCCTTGACTGCAGCAACATCAATCAATAAGAAAAACAATTGTCACTATTGATTATCATAATGGAAAGTATAGAACATATCAAGCTGCCTAAACAGATAATTATCTCACAAAGATACACCAGTCTCTTGCTTTAAGATGGTATATTGATTGAACAAGCATAAAATAGGTCTAAGGTTCAACACATCAATTAAATCTGAAATCCTTACAATAAAACTGGATACCCATTTTGTAATTAACCATTGGGGAGAGTCAGATAAGAAAAAAGTGTGGTGGGGAATGGATGAAAAAACACGATTGATAAGCACACGCGTACATCACATCTATGTAGAATCCAAAGCAATGAACAAAGTATAATATAGCTAATATTTGAACTCACATCAAAGCCCCATAGACAAATATCTGTGCACGCAATTGTACTTGCTGAATATCCATGAAAGGTTGTTGAAACAGAACAGCTGGAGAAGCTGAAGAGTTTAAATCTGGAAGGCTAGATGTTGAAGTGTTTAAGATAGCAAATGGTTTTGTACCGATAGAATCAACATGCCCATACTGTTGCACTTCATTTGATTGCATCACCTGGAAACCAGGTGATGGGCTCAAAGACACACTAGTTGATCTATCACCTCTTTCTGACTGTCTTCCTGGAGTTTTTCCTTTATTTCCTTTTCTAGAAGATTCCTTTCCAGCTGACTTATTATAGGCTCGCCTAGTTTTGCGTTCAGGTGTACCTTGAGAAACACTGTGTGCTATAACACCATCAGATATTTGTGGACTCCCAAGGGGGATATTTCCTGCAACTTTGGTTTTGGGAGTACCTAGCGCAGAAGTCAATGAAGATTCCTCTACAACCTTTAATAACAAGAGTAGGAGAATCAAGAATAAAATGAGTGCATTGGATCACTTCAAAATCAAAATTTGGAATATATCTTATAATGAATCTTTAAAGAAACACCCCCCTTCAGAAGGGAAACCAATCATGATGTAAACAATACAGAGAATAGCATTCAGATAAAAGTGCCTTTAGAGATTATGAACTGCAACAAGAATTACCGTTGAAGCTTTGTTGGCTGCAGTAACAGGAGCTTGTTGCCTCTTTTTGCTAGAATTTGTTCTTTTCGTGGTCTTTTCTGAAACATCTTTTTTAGACAAATTCATCACAGGATTTACCTCAGGAGCTAAGCTTCTCTCACCTTTAGATGCATCATTCCCCTTAGGATCATGATCAGTAGACGTGTTCAATGCATCCTTATTTATGTACTCAGAAACTAGATGAGCAGAAGCCTTAACTTGATTCACATCCTTTTCAGTTTCAGGATTGCTTCCAAATATAACAGAGGCACCACAAGTATTTTCGGCAGGATTGGTGGGATTGGTTCCAGTTTCATGCAACTCAGAGCAAGAATCAGGAACGGAAGATTTGGAACCTTCATTTGCAAATAAATTGTCACCAACAAAACTAATTAATCTTCTAATAAGTGCGGAAACATTTGAATAAATGTTAAACAGCAGGAGATGCATGTTTTAATTATAAAGCAAATAAGATGTTATTTGCATATATTCCATTTAACAGTCCTACAAACATAAGGATTGGGCAACTCTAAAACAAGACAGGATAAAGTGTTAAAAATTACAAAACATTTTCCAATATTCAACTGAAGTTCACCACAACCTTTGTTGTGCAAAGGACACTGCCAGCAGAAACAAGAACATGGCAGATCCAATGTAAATTTAAAAAGAAGACAAGTGACAAGGAAGATGACTGCCATCATATGCAATAAGCAGAGACCATCAGTAAGAGGGGCAAACACATGACAACACCTATGGGGAAACAGTCGTCCTATAAGCAAAACTTGAATATTAGAGCAATTATCAAAGCAGAAATTCAGTCCACAATGAAGACAAAGGTACAATCATAATTTTCATCCTAGATATACTGCATAGGCTTCCCTTACTCCAGACATTAATGCATGGTGCAGTAAAAATCTCCCATAGACACATGACAATTAAGTAACCTACAAAGTTTAGAATTAGTTTGACACTAAGAAATCACAGCCACTATTTGAATGGTCAAGCATTCCTCAACCACAGAACATAGATAATTTTTTGAAAAAAACCCTCATTAAGAGTACAAAACACTTCGATAAATAATGAGACATTTGTGACATTATATTTCATGAAAGGATACACAATGACAATGCTTTCCTTAAAGTTACATAATGTATAAACAGAATAGTTAACAATGAGAACATATGCAAAAATTAATAAAATCATTCAGTTAGAGGAAAGTAAAGAAATTAGCATAATTGGTGTCATATACATAATATTTTCCCGTGCTACAGAATGGACACATAAACGTAATACAACAATTAATAAATAACAGAATTTGAAAGGAAACCCAAAAATGGTCAAATACTAAATTAAAGAATACCTGATATTTTTGAGGATGACTTGTCATTGTTCTCTTGTATTGCCTCTTTGTCATCCTTGGTAAAAGAAACTGCAACTTCATCCCCAGGTTTCTCTATTGATTCACACAGAACTGCAGCCACACCAACCTCTTTTGTGCACTCCTGATCAACCTTATCACCCAGTGTTTCTTGAGGTTTACCCATCTTTTCAGAAGCAGTAGTCACACAACTGCTTACTGTGTCACACAACAATTGTCTAGATGTATCAGAAAAATCTTGTTTTTCAGTTCCAGTAACAGGACAAGGAGCAGTTTCCTGTTCAGAAGACCTAACAGGAAGAGTCGTAGTTGCTTCATTGGCTATTTTAGCTTCAGAACAACCTTCATTGGCTATTTTAGCTTCAGTGCTTGCTACATTGGCTATTTTAGCTTCAGAGCTTGCTTCATTGCCTATTATAGCTTCAGAACTTGCATCATTGCCTATTTTAGCTGCAGAGCTTGCTTCGTTGCGTATTTTAACTTCCGAGTTTGCTTCATTGGCTATTTTAGCTTCCGAGCTTGCTTCATTGGCTATTTTAGCTTCCGAGCTTGCTTCATTGGCTATTTTAGCTTCAGAGCTTGATTCATTGGCTATTTTAGCTTCAGAGCTTGCTTCAATGACTATTTTAGCTTCACAGGTAGCTTCATTGGCTATTTTAGCTTCACAGCTTGCTTCATTGGCTATTTCAGATACAGAGTTTTCATTTTCATCAATGGAAGCAGACCCAACAAACACCACTCTTTGTTCATAGTGATCTGTAACTTCATGTGTGGACACAGCTTTGCTAGGAGGTGGAACATCAACCATTTCACGGGATGTTAAACTAATATTTTCTGATAGATATTGTGAAGCTGAAAAATAAAATGAAAAGAAACCATGTAGTTAAACCTTATAATGACTTAGATTCTATTCTTAGGATAAATCAACTTTATTTTCTTAACTACTTCTAGTATACCTGAATTATTGAAAGGCTTGATGTCAAATGATACTGTGGAAGTTGCCAACTTGGTTTCCATGCAACCTGCACTAAAAGATGATGAACTAACTCCTGTATCAACGAGATGGGATTGGTCAACATCACGATGCACTAGGCTAGAATCAGAAGTGGCCACTTTATTATCATGATCCGTAGCAGAAACATTTTGACAGCAGTTTTGATGGTCACCATGCTTGTCAGGTTCATTGTTTTCAGATACTTGAGTCGCCTCACCCGAAATACAAGATTTTTTAGAAGCCACTGCACCTGAACTAGAAAAATCTCCTGCTTTACTATCATTATTTCCTTTACTAACAGTAGAAGTGTCATTAGACCCCACAGCAAACACAGATGCCTCTGACTTACTTAATAAAACCTTTGTGTCCATCTGGTTACCAATGTTCAATAACTCCTTTTCCTTAGAAACGCTGGTTTCACTATATGTCTTCTCAACGGTACCCACATTCTGCTGAAAATTAGGACATGTACTACACTCGGATTTGCTGACCCCAACTATATGCCCCTCAGAACTGGAATCATCTTTAATTTCAACCATTGGTGAGTCACTTGTATTTGGTGCAGATTGATTATCCACAGTTATACCTTCCTTTGCATTGCCCCAAGACAAATCTCTGAAATGTGCATCTTGATTGCATCTTTCTGCATTATGGAAGTCAGAAATACCATCAGATACCATGCTCAAGGAGCCCTCTAAAATACTTCCAGAAGTCTCAAGGCCTTCAACTACATTGCCACTTTCCAATGTTTCTTCCATGGGAATCGAATAAAGAGGTTTATCTGAATGATGCGCTTCACCAGCAGCTGCATATACATCCAAAGTTTGAGTGTCCACATATGAATCCTTGTTAATCACAGAAGAATCCAAATCTTGCTCATTTTGTATTTGTAAAGAACTTTTCTCATTTTGAACGTTTAAGATACCACAAGTGGAAGAGATATTTTGTACAGAAGTTGCAGTAATACTAGTCTTCACCCCTGAAGCAGTCAAATCCTCTTGAGTTTTTTCTTCAACAGAACCATCAGCCACAGTCTCAACTTTTCCTTGATTTGTATCATTACTTTTGCCATCAGTGAAGAGAATTCCCCTAGTCATGGGCAAGCCAACATTTCCAAGCATATCATGTGGCTGTAGATTACTTAAACTTCCATCAATGGATAGTTCTTCTTGGGAAACTCCAGCCAGTGACTGCTCCCTTTCTACATCCCTTAATCCAGCCAAGTTTTCATGGATATAATCTGGTGGCTGTAAATCAGTAACATTATCTTTAAAATCATTTCTATCGTCAGGTTTTGGATCGGGCTCCATTTGCTTAGCTAAGCATGCCAGTTCATCACAGGCATCAGATTCCTGTATAACAGTTTCTCTAGGGATAAATTCCTCCTGTCCAACAGATTTTAATAGCATTTCAACAGATTCTGAGGAAGTGGCCTCAGACCAAACATTATTATGCCTTGATATAGAGCAAGATTCAGCTGCAGTTGAATTGAACTCTATGCCACTACTCCCCCGGGAGTATGCGTCAATCCACTGGTTATCTTCGTTACTTTCAATACCAAGGAAAACTTCAGTTTCAACCAAACTATCAAATCTTAAATTCCCTTGAAGGCTTTCATCAAAATCAAACTTAGGGAGAGCGTATGGCCTTAATACTGGGGGAAATTTTGTGCTCCCTTCACCAGGTAAATGGAGATTCTGGCTTTGAAAATCATTGTCATCATAATCCATGGATGTATCCCTAAAACAAATAAGCATTTTAGAATAAGAGCAATAAGTCAAATAACTAGGAAACTGTGCTCAAGTTTGATATACAAATATTCATAAACTGGACATGCATGCACATACAGACAATTTCACAAGCAGATGTGCATGCATAAGATTCACAACACATAGTGGCATAGCCATCTGTTTGTGGCTACATGGGTAAAGCGATGGTATGATGTTTTTCTTAAAAATGCTAGATTAATAATGTTAATGTTAATAGTTTTAAAACTATGTACCATAACCAAAAAATTCAATATTCAAAGTTTAAGGGGAAAAGTTCATCATTCATATCTGCCTATGTTATGTAAAAAATAAAGTACAGGTCTTAAAAACTTAACCAAATAAGGGGAAAAAAGATAGTTACTGCTAAAAAGGACATCAATGTCAATTACAAAAAAGAGCAATTATGTCAAGGGTCAACTACTAGAGAAAAAGAGAAGTGTTTTCTTGTCATTTCTAATATAAAAAAAAAATTAGGAAAGTTGCAATTTGAGCATGAGAAACCCAACTGCACATGACCTATGCAAAATAAAAACAGAGGAAAAAATGCTTCTTCAAGAAGCTTCTACTAAAACAGAGCGAAACAGCCACAGTGGCACAGGAGTAAATACTAGAAATGGGACTTTGGTTCTGGCTGGATGCACAATAGGTTATTTTATCTGGATCTAGTGGCTAAGCAGACCTTTGTCCAACCAGATCTAATCCAGAAACTTCAATAGTAACTGCTTATTGTCCATCACCCATGTCTCTGAAGTGCCAAAATTGATGTGCACCCCACCATTATACCACAACACTCTGTCACAAGCATCTGGGAGCCGGAAAACTCCACTCATCTTGCCCACTCCAATAATTATTGATTAATTAGGAACAACCACTCCACACGAAGCATGTAACATATAGCCTCAATTTACCCAAAGCAGAAAACAAGTTGGTCATTAAACACTTGGAAATTACAAAATTTAAAACATCAAGTCAATTCAAGAATTACGTAAAATATAACCAAAGCTCATATTCATAATGAAAAATAACCTGTCACCATGGATTAATATTTATGAATCTATCTAATCTACAATTAATACACTTAGAAAGTCACTAGACATAGCGAGGAGGGGAGCAGTGGCAATCAGCTTAAAGTCTTGGGTTTTATACACAGTAGTGACTGGGAATGTTGTTTTGAAAAGTATAATGTGGCAAAAAAGGCACACATGATAAATACAATTAATTGAAGGCATCCACATGATTTACACGCATTCAGTACACAGATAGGTTAACACAATCATCACGCAGTAAGAAAGCTTCTTCTTCATAGTCCATAGTGCCACAGCAACACTGTATACATTGTGAGATTTTTTAAATTAAATCATTCACAAATGACTTGTATAACTAACTTTCACACATTTTTAGCAGCCAAAATATAGTAAACAAAGGAGAACTAAAAAAAAACTGTTTCGTAACCAATATCATATTTTTCATTGAAAAGACACCAGGTTTAACAATAGATACAATAGATACAGGATGACCACTTTACTGGTGGCATGATCAGTTAACACTTTCACACACAGCACCAACCTTCCCAATGAACAGCGCAAAGCAACCGTACTCCATAACACACATCCTTAAAAATAACTTTCAAAGTAATTTACTGAATTGACCACCTTGTTAGTTGAATTAAAATCAGTCGCATTACAATTCTTCTCGGTACCACCAATTAAATTAGCCACACCCAATCAGAACCAAAAATAAAACTTACCACTAAAAGCAAAGAAAACCTAATCAAAAAAAAAAAACCTATTTCACAAAAAAAAGTTGGACATGAACAGTACCAGAAGAAGAAAGTCTAAAAACGCTACCTCCCTCCATTCGGCGAGGAAATCCAGCCCCTGTGATCTCACCTATTCGCCAATCGTACAGTCATCTACTGCATCAATCGATTCATGCACTGTCAGTGTAACCTCAATCAAGTGAATAAACTTCAAAAAGAAAAAGCGTAGAACACCGACAAGGTCGACGAAACCTCGCCGGAAGGCAGAGACTCACCGGTGAGTGCGAGGTCCGGCGGATCGAATTAGGGTTCCGGCGATGAAAGAGATATACGGGAAGATAGAGAGAGTAGTGAGAGAAAGGCTGAAACGACCCTAACACGCGAAGTGTGTGACTCTTTCGCAGCCGATTTTTTATTTTTTATTTTTCTTTTCTTTTCCTTTCTTATATTCTTCCCTGAGCATTCAATTTTAATAATATTTTATACAGCAACTAGTAACTATATATTACTATCGATTTGTCATTATCAGCTGTCTATTATTACTTCCATTTATTTAATTTTTTATTAAGAATTATCATTAATTTAATTATCAAAAATGGCATATACTGATTAAAAAAATTACTTAAAAAAGAGCAGAAAATATGTAAGAGACATGTTAAAGTCAAAGTAGACACAGCCTTTTCTTTAATTTTTATAAATAAATATGTTAATTCTTGTGAGTTTCAAACAACTCATTTATGAAAGCTAAATTATATCTTTATTTATTAGTAATGTTAAATTTGCAGTTTTTTATATCTATTTTTAATTTTATAATCTTAATTTCTGAATTTTATAAATTTTGTAATTTTTTTTTAATATTCATTCATTTATGGTTAAAGTTATTATATTAATTTGATATTAAATAAATAACATAATAATTAATATTTAAATTAAATTTTATTATCAATTCTCATTTTTATTTCATAAAAGTGATAAATTCAAATTAAAAAAATTGATAAAAATGAGAATAAATTAATTTCAATATTAATCAATCCATCATTTATCAATGTTAGATCATGATTAATATTACAATGATTAATAGGTGAATATTTAATAAATGAAAAAATTATAAATTTTATAAAATTAAGGAATTAAAAATAAATAAATAAAAATTATGAACTTAACATTATAAAAAATCAAATGTATAATTAAACTAATTAAAAAATATAAAATGTTATCAACATATCCCATATTAACTTCTTACAAGTTATTTTTCATTAAAAATATTATTATTTCTGAGCAAATGCCCTAATCTAACACATTAAAAAAGGCCCAAAACAGGTGGCAAAAGTGGAATGGTGGCTAGTAGTATATAGTTAAGAAAATCCGCATCCAATATTTTTATTTAGTATCGTAAATATTGGTATTATTTTATTTCATAAAATAAACATATTTATTATTGTTGTTATTTAATAAAAATATAATAGGTTCAATTGTTTTTATCCCTCAAGTATTGAAATTGTGCAATTTTGATTCCAAAGTTTTAATTGGGTAAATTTAGTCTATAAAAGATTATAATTATACGATTTTGATCCTTTAATTTTTAATTGAATAATTTTAGTTCCTCGAATATCATAATTGTGCGATTTTAGTTTCTCTCATTAAAAGTTTAATATTTTTAATATATATATATAAATAATTTAAAATTATACAATTATTTATCTATTCAAATTAATGTATATTATAATTTTCGTTATTATATTAAATAATATATATTTATTATTACTAGATAAATAAAATTTATATATTAT